GATGAATATGTGGCCAAAAGAGGCCACTCTCGAGAACCTTACGAGTTGTCCTTGTTGGGCCAAAATGGCCACCACATGCATGAGAATGACATAATTCTAAAATAGAGGTTACCTCATCATTACCTACACATCGTCGGATGATTTGATCAAACCCTTTCTTCCACAAGTAAGGATCATCCCACATGTAATATTTGGAGTCACTCTTTATCTTGTATCTCTTTGAGCTTGGTGTGTGGTCCCAGTGACTAAGTAGTTAACTATGTCGGCATATCATGGAACTGTGGTCTTCACCTCAAAAAGGTGCTCATCTGGGAACTTATCATCTAACAGTAACGACTCTTCATTGGAGACAATCCGGCTCAAGTGATCTGCTACTAAATTTTGTGTTCCACTTTTGTCTCTAATCTCCAGGTTGAATTCTTGGAGCAACAAACTCCATCATATGAGTCTTGGTTTGGCATCCTTCTTTGTCATCAAATACCGCAATGCCTCCTGATCTGTAAAAACAATAACTTTAGTACCTAAGAGATATTGACGAAAATTTTCCAATGCGAAGACAACCGCAAGCAATTCCTTCTCCGTGGTGGAGTAGTTTKCTTGCGCGCTATCGAGGGTTCTCGAAGCATAATAAACAACGTGTGGTTCTTTCCAACCCTTTGCCCGAGTACCGCTCTGATAGCATAGTTGCTCGCGTCACACATAATCTCAAAGGGAAGATCCCAATTCGGTGGTCTCATAATGGGGGCGGATGTGAGCATCTCTTTAAGCTTATCAAAAGCTTCCTTGCATTTCTCATCAAACCTGAACTCCACATCCTTTTGAAGTAGATTGCACATCGGTCGGGTAATGCTTGAGAAATCCTTAATGAAGCACCTATAAAAACTTGCATGACCCAAAAATGACTGGACTTCCCTCACCGAAGTGGGGTAGGGTAAGTTTTTGATAACAACTACTTTAGCTCTATCTACTTCAATACCTTTACTCGAGATAACATGTCCTAAAATCAGCCCTTGGTTTACCATAAAGTGGCATTTTTTATAATTTAAAACCAAGTTGATCTCTATGCATCTTTGAAGGATTTTAATGAGATTTTCTAAACATTCATCAAAGGAGTTCCCATAGACGGTGAAATCGTCCATAAAAACTTCAGTGATGTTTTCCACAAACTCAGAAAAAATACTCATCATACACCGATGAAAAGTAGCCGGTGCATTTCATAGGCCAAAGGGCATTCAACGATAGACGAAAGTGCCGAAAGAACATGTAAACGTGGTTTTCTCTTAGTCTTCCGATGCAACCGGAATTTGATGAAAACCATAGAAATCATCTAAACAACAATAATGAGACTACCCTGCCAGTCTCTCAAGCATCTGGTCGAAAAAAGGTAGAGGGAAGTGATCTTTGCTAGTTGAGGCGTTCAACCGTCGGTAATCTATGCATACTCTCCAACCACTTTGTACTCTTGTTGGAACCATCACTCCCTCGGCGTTTTCCACTACTGCCACCCTGGCCTTCTTTTGAACAACCTGCACCGGGCTCACCCATTTGCTATCGGATATAACAAATATCACACCTGCATCTAGCAACTTTTGAATCTCTTTCTTTACAACCTCCATCATGGGTGGATTCAACCTCCTTTGGGCCTCGCGGAACGGCTTGAAGTCATCCTCCATCAAAATCTTGTGCATGCAAGTTGATGGGCTCAAGCCTTTTATGTCGGCTATCATCCACCCAATGGCCTCCTTGAATTGTTTTAGCACGGAAACGAGCTTCTTTTCTTCGGATGAGTCTAACCTACTTGAAATGATGACCGGTAGCTTCTCTCCTTCTCCTAGATATGCATACTTGAGATGCTCGGAAAGTTTCTTCAACTCTAGTTCTGGTGCCTGCAAAACAGAAGGAAGTAGTTTTTTGTTAGATGGCGGTAAAAAAAACTTGAGCTATATCATACATTGACATCTTCTTTTGATCCATAGAAGCTACTAGCTCGTGAAACTCGGGTCCGATCTCAATCTTCTTCATGAGTTTGGTTACTCTCGCTTCATTCAAAGACCTACTCAAGATGGTGTCTAAAGCATGTGTTAGTTCAAACAACTCTTGAGAAATAGGTTCAATAATGTCAATGGTACATAGAGAGGATACATCACTTGGAAAACACATGGCTTCATAGATATTAAAATGGATGATGTTACCATCAAATTCCATGGAAAGTGTGCCATTGTGAACATCTATCTTTGTTTTTGAAGTTTTCAAAAATGGCCTCCCTAACAAGATGGATGTGGATTTTGGATGTGAGTTCTCCTCCATATCAATGACATAGAAATCAGCGGGGAAAACAGTTCATTCACTTGAACCAATAAATCCTCTAATACCCCTTTCGGGTGTACAAGGGACCTATCGGCCAATTGAATGACCACCCCGGTTTCTTGTAAAGGGCCTACATTTAGAGTCTTGAAGATAGAAAATGGCATCACATTGATAGATGCACCCAAATCAAGCATAGCCCTATTGATCGTAACATTTCCCAATTTGCAAGGAATGGTGAAAACACCTGGATCTTCGCACTTTGGGGTAGCTTCTTTTGAAGGACGGCAGATACATTCTCACTCATATTAATCGCCTCGTTACCCCTAAGTTTTCTTTTGTTTGTGCACAATTCTTTCAAAAACTTAGCGTAACAAGGGACTTGCTTGATTGCGTCTAAAAGAGGGATATTTACCTCGACCTTCCTAAAAGTTTCTAGGATTTCCTTTTCCTCTCTAGATTTGTTAGACATTTGAAAACGCGTAGGAAAGGGAGGTGGAATTACCTTTGCTTTCTCACTTACATCATCAGTGGATCCCGATTGTTTCTTATCTTGAATCGGTTTCGGGCTTACCTCTTACTCTTTCTCCATTTCCCTACTCTTGGCCATCTTTGGTTCTTCAAGTTCCTTCACACTCCTCAAGACAATTTCACTTACATTCTGTTTCGGGTTTGTCTCCGTTTGGGAAGGAAACTTTCCTTGAGATTCCAACCAGCTCACGGAAGTGGCAAGTTGCGTCATTTGAGCTCCCAAATTCTGAATGCTTGCCTTTGTTTTCTGTTGGAATTGAAGAGTATTAGCAGCTAAACTCTTGACAATGTGTTCAAGGGACATACATGGGCTACTAGAAGTAGCTTGATTCGGATTGAAGGGTGCTCTTTGTTGAAAGCGGCCTTTGCATGAAATTCTGAAATTGAGGAGGTCTGTTAGCTCTTAGTTCCTTAAATGTAAAAGTATAGAAAAAGTAAAACTGCAAGTATTGACAGAAGATGATMTGTCACAGAAGACCACAGAGGACCAACAGCAAAAGATGCACGCTACAAGTCTCAAGTGACAGAACCTCTGTCGTGTCTCACAGAGGTTCTGGAACTGGTCCTCTGAGAAGACAATGCTACAAGACTTTAGTCGACAGAACCTCTGTTGTGTCTCACAGAGGTTCTGGAAGATTTCCTCTGCGTACTTCCAAGTTTCATCTAGCAGAGCCTCTGTGCTATCTAACAGAGGGTCTGCAGCAATGTCTTCTGTGTAGATTATCTTTAAGCTGTTTTACTTAGGTCTTTTAGCTGCTCGTGCCTATCACGTGTTCTTGTCTGTAATTGGTTTTGATCGAATG